CCATAGTAGCTAGCAGAATGAAGGGAAATGGATGGAGCACCAAGTGGTGAAAAATATGCTCTCAACCACAGTTGAGTGAACCAAAGGGGGCCACTGCCAGTGGGAGATACACCATTTTTCATTTGAAACTGAAGGGAAGCCATGCCTCTATAAAGGGCGGTTAAAAAGAAGGAACATAAGTTCAAAGGCCTACCACGCGCCAATTCATGCGCTATGAGTAAGTAGCTCATAAAAGGTTTCATACTTGGCATGCAAGGAATATATTTACAGAGCCAAATTTGAAGAAGAAAGGTCACATGCTCAGCATGGGAAGGTTTAGCGCTTGAGTGATTATAAAGGCCTTGCAGGCTTGAATAGGACTCAGTAAGTTTCTTGTCAAATTTCGGGGCAACACTGAAAATCAAGATACCAGGAAAGATGGTATTGCCCAAAGGCGGAAGATTTACTAGGGCTCCAACATCCCTTGAAGTAATAGACATGGGACCAAGAGGGAAAACGAAAGTGTTATACTCAGAAGACTAAAAACTCAAAGCAATAGGAAAAAGTACTGGGTTAAAAATTGGGGGTTGAAGAGTAATTTCTAATAAATCTGAAATTCTAGCACGATCAAAAATTGCCTTGGTGGGGCCATGATTCACAAGATGTGCATGCCATCTACGAAAAATAACATCAGCTTTGGGCTAAGTGCGAATACCTTTTTCGCGAATTAGCCTCAATGGCAAGGAGTTTAGGAACGGAGGACCTTGAGTGCAAGAGAACAGCTGACCCACCTCCACTTGTCCAACGGCTTCAGCATTATTAAACGATGGACCCAAATAGAATTCATTGAGGTCAGCATTAGCTTGTGCAAGGAAGTTTGGATTTACAAACGGCCTAGTAAGGATTTTTTGGAAATCTTCGAAATTAAAAGAATCATCAGATTAAGTTTGTGAAGTCGCCATTGGAAACAAAGTATAGTTTTGATAAGGTTTGCCTGAGAAACGTAGTAGAGAAGCAAGAAGATGAACAGTAAAATAGTGAGGAGGAGGCACGAAATATAGAGACGTAGTTTAGTGGTGCGATGAAATGGCGTGTCTTTTGGGTTTATAAGGGTTTGTAACGTTGTACCTTTTCAGGCTGTAGAAGGAAATAATGATTGAAATTCTTGGAAATTTCAAATATTGCTCGAAAATACAAAGTGAATATGGCAAAGATTAATAATTGGTATTAATTCTGCCATATTGGGAGGTAATTGTTGACACACTAAAAGTGCAGCCCAAATCAAATAGCCCAAAGAGCGAAGCCCAATTGGGGAGTCCAGGATAAAGGTCTAAATAGGATTATTGAGGAATGCAATGGAAGCCCATGAACACGGTAATATCGTCGCCTAAACTTGCAAGACACCCAGAATCTGAGCGAATGGAGTACCTTACGGTCGCCTAGAGTGATGACCCCGTTCTCGCCCAAACCTTCGAATCGCCCAGGATCTTAGGAAGCATAAAACATTATGGTTATCCAGAATAGCAGTTGATGAAGTAGTTATTGAGTGATTTTATCACATTCCACGATTCAAGGAGCCCAGTTGAAGGCGATTGAACGACAAAGAGTAATGGTAACAGTTAGAGACGGCAGTTCCACAACAAGTTAGCCACCATAAAGAAAGCGGGTAGTTATACAGCAATCAAGCAGTTTTCAAGCAGTTTGTCACAAAAAAATAATCAGGGGAATAGAAAATGAAGAGAAGACATAGAAAAAGACCCCGAATCAATCACTCTCAAATAGAAAATATGTAATTTTGATTTCTTAGTTTAAACTTAAACACTTCTTTTAGTACTCGTGTGCTTGTGCCCCTTGGAGACATTTTATTTATTTTCAATTGTAAATCATCGCTAATAAAACACCCTCTTTTGGGATTTCGTTTCAAGAGGTTTGTTCCTTACACAATCGTGTGATCCCTTTTTTAATTGTTAGCGACTACTCGTGCGAAACACCATTCCATTGCACCATCGATTCGATTTTTTCGCCTCGTTCGGTTTGATTATCTGCAATTTTCGATTTTAACGATTCAAAGTGTCATCCCTAGCATTCGTGCGCTTACTGCTTAAAATTACATTTTTTTCCCCCTAACAAAAAGTAAGTTAAAAAGTTTTACTTCCAAAAGCTAAATTAAAATAATTTTAAAATACAAAATAACTTAAAAGATAAATAGATATTTTTATAAAAAAAAAAAAAAAAAAAAAAAAAAAGCTGGTGACGAATTTTATTAATGAATAATGCTATGTCTCAGGAAATTCACGCAGCAGAAGATTTTGAATTTGAAACTTATCGAATGACTTAACTGCAACAAGCTCCAATAACTGACTTTACATTTGAGCGCACCCATCCTTATTTTGAAAAATCCCTTGAATAAGATCTAAGAAATTTTGCACGTGTCAGGGACTCGAGAGTAACCCAATGTCTCTTTATGAATACTTTATCATAAACCAATATTTGGAGTAATTGTCCTGTGTGATATATACGTAACAATTTATTATTTAACATATTAATGTGGTAGATATTTATTGTCTTATGCATTAAAATTGCCAATTGAGGTAGATTGCTCTGACAAATTAATCCATGCCAATTCCAGGAATATTCAAATTTGTCTCATCTTCACATGAATCGAAAAAGTTAGTAAAGAGTTTTTCGAAGTAATTTCAGGGAGATGGTCCTATGATAGATAAATGAGGTTCCCCAGCCTTACCAAGCATTTCAAGCCTTCTTTCGAGGAGAGGTGAAATCTTTTGATCTCTTTTAGTAAGAGGGGAAAAAAAAAAAAAAAAAAACAAAAGCTTCCAATCCTCATTAAATTTGGAAAAAACATTAATTTTTGTTTAAAAAGGGCTCAAATGAAAAGCATATTCGAGTCATAGCTACGAAAGCACAAATTTTGGGGCATATTTTCAAAATAGTAAAATTTCAAGGGGCAAAATGCTAATATCTTAAAAGAACAGAAACCATAGGTTGGAAGAAAAGAACCTCAGATCATTATCCACCATTCACCATTTCGGTTCCCTCACTCTCCCCCTCTAACGCCATTTTCCCCTGTTCTCTTCAATCATTTTCTGCAAAAATTAAGAAAAAATTGAATTTTTACAAACATGGCAACACTCATTGCTACAGTACGGCCAATGGCAGTTGGATTGCCAGCAAAATCCCAATTTTCGAACAGATTTTCAATGAAGAGTTCAAGAATGGATTCAGAGCTAGGGTTCATTACATCCCAGTTGAGTGGCATCAAAATTTCAACGACCCAGTTTCAAACATTTGCTTCCAGCCCAATCTCTGCTCCTTTCAGGCCTTCTATCCAACCTGTTGCTCGTAATTTCTTTTCCCTCAATCTGTGTGTGCGCGTGAGTGATGTTACAGATTATATAAGTTGTTACTTCTTATATTGTTTTGGGCCTTTGGGGGAATTTTTTATTTTATTTTGTTTTATTTTTTATTTTTTATTTTTTTTGGGAGGAGGCTAAAACTTATTGAATGATCTAAAAGGAAAATTGCGTTAATTACATCCTTCCAGAGCAAGGTACTACGATTTATGTTTTCATGTGCTCCTTTACCTTCTTCGTGGAAGGGAGGATAGAAAGTTTGCAGGTGCAGTAAGATAGTATTCTTTTGAGTTTAATTCTTGATTTTTTTAATCCCTTTACTGGATTTTATGCCTGTTTAGGTGCATCTTCATTTTCATCGTAATTAAATCATAAATCAAATATTGGAATAAAATAGGAGATGCGAGTTTAAAAGGTTAATCTTTTGCTTTACTTCAAAAATGGCTGGTTTCTTGCTTGCAGAGACAAATAATTTCAAAGAGAAAATTTGATAATCATTGATGACGAAAAAGGATTAATTTTCGGACCCAAATTTGTAAGTAACAGGGCTTAGTATGTCGTTGTTGACATAATCATTGATGCAATCTTTTCTTCTATAGCTCTCTTCTGGTCTCTGCTATTTAATTCTCTGTTATGTCTGGTATCAAATTTACTTTTCCTTAATGAAACATAAGGTGGAATAGAGACCTTCTCTTGCTGCAATTTGAAGAATAAGGCTTCTTAAGCAATCGAAGTTACTGTTTGACTTGGAATTTATTTGAATTTGATTATGATAATAATGAACCTATACAAATTTAAAGATCCTTCCTTGATGATTAAAATTCATGAAATATGAATGAATTTCACATTCCCTTTGTCTAGCACTTTGTTCTATTTTGACGGGACAGAAATGTGAAGGGTAAACATTCTCGAATCGTTGAGCATTAACTGATAGTCTTCCCTCAGTCAATGTCCTTGCCACTGCAAGGCGAAGTAAAAAGGGGGAAAAGTCTTTATTTTTATCACACTGCAATATCAATAAAACTTAAAGAGGATTAAATTTTAAATGACTGAAATGTGCTTGCTGAGAACTTTGATTCCTTGTACTAATGATGTCAGTTGATGAATTTTTTATTTTTATTTTTGATCTTAAGCTTCTGTCTCTGAATATTATGGGCTTTACTGCTTGGTTTCTTGATTTCCCACAGAAAGGTATTGAACTGTTGGAGTCGATTTTGCCTTCAGGTAGGATATGTCCCTTCACGGGAAAGAAATCAAACAAGGCGAACAAAGTTTCCCATTCAAACCACAAGACGAAGAGGCTGCAGTTTGTGAATCTGCAATATAAGAGAGTTTGGTGGGAAGCCGGGAAGCGCTATGTCAAATTGCGATTGTCAACCAAAGCTCTCAAGACCATAGAGAAGAATGGACTTGATGCAGTGGCTAAGAAGGCTGGAATTGATCTTAGTAAAAAGTAAATTCAATAGCAATTCAGTATTGCCTTATTTTCTTTTTTCTGAAAATTTGATGATGTTTTTCGCAAGGTTTTTGTCTTTCATATTTTGTATCTTCTTTCACATTTAAGGTTCATTATCTATCTCTTTGCCAAAGTGCTGACAAGTTAGTCATATTTTTGCTAAAGTCCTTGATTTTTGAATGCATATAAAGAAGTGAATCTGGATAAAAATGTACTCAATTATTCACTTATTTCGCCAAATACCAACTTCATAAGCTAGAAGAATCAACAAATTCAGTTGCATCAAGGCTTTCCATTGACAAAACCACCTCATAAACCTGGATTTGTTGAATGCAAGTACATCCTCAACTTTGAATCACATCATCTAAAAGGTTCGACTGGAGCAGATTCTTGGAGAAGGGCTGCAGCCTCAAAACACTCTACAGCTTCCATTGATGAACCAACCTCACTCTTGTAGAGTAGCCCAAGATTGTACCATGCTGCTGGGTTTGTTCTTTCGAGCCGCAATGCATCAGTCAGAAAGCTTTTTGCTACAGCCAGTGATTGGTCACTTAATTGCCTAAGAACGACAGCAGTAGATATCAAGCTCGGAACATGGTTCGGTTCTATATCGAGGGCCTTCCCAAAATACATGAGAGCCTCCTTGTGGAGACCTTTTGCTTCGTAAAGTAAACCTGGCAAAATGAGGAACGAAAACGTTCATAACAACCCTTGAATTAACAATTTCAAGTATTTCATAAGGAAGGCCTCTAGTTGAATCCCAAGGAAAACGTGTTATGGATTAAGTCATAATCCTAATTTCAAAAGCAATGACAGACAAGAAGAATGAAAAACAAATGCAGAGCTTTAGAGTGATTCACCCTCAACATGAGAGCTATGTCTATTATAAAGAGAAATTTACAGCAGAGATCTCACAACTTTCAATTTGTGTATCTTTCAGAATGGTCCCCCAAGTTCCTTTATACATTCTAAAAAATCTAGGGCAACCTAATACAATAATATAAGCACCCTATACACCCCTATAATACTATCACTATAAGAACATCTCATATCCACGGTTGACGATGACTCCAAAAAATCTTACAGGATGAAAATGAGAATATAAAGCAAACAATGAGATTCTACACATGATGAAATGATATCTCAAAAGCTCGCTAGTTTTTGCCTTTAGAGCTCTCCGGGAGTTTCTCTGAGAGCACAGTAAAAGAGCAAACAATTGTTCTTCTTGGTGCCACAATGAGTGCCACTCGATTCACAATTTTAGGCCACTCCGAACTTTTTGGAAGAATTTTTGTTGCCATTGATTTCGACATTTTACATTTCAATTTAGCTAGTGCCACTTCAAAAGAAGAAACAAGAAAGAGAAAAAAGAAATTTGTCAGCCATGTCCACAATTGGCCCTATGCATGGTTTTTTCATTTCCATGTACTCGTTCTCAAGAAAGGACCAAATTCTACCCAAAGATTACTCAATAACGTGGCAATGAACACCAGGAAACAGACTGAACAGACTGCAAATTGATTATCCCATTAATCATTAAAGCAGAAGCAGTCCATGACCATGAGGACAGTTATGGATCACAGTCGTCAATCACACTAACACGACAGTTGTTCAAATTTTTGGAAAAAAAAAAAAAGTAAAAAAATAAAAATAAAAATAAAATTTGAAGAAAAAATAAAATAAAATAAAATAAATTACCTGTGGAATGCCATCTAGAAGCAGAATGTGAATTGATAGCCTCAGATTTTGAAAGACAAATTTCAGCATCCCGCCATTGACACAAGCTTGTATAAACATTTGCTAGATCATGCCATGTTTCCATTTCTAGACTCCTGTTAATGTTCCTCCTGTTCTGTGGATTGAAAAAGGTTGAGAGTAATGAAAATGAACATGAAAATAAAAAAACACAGCCTAACAATATCCAAGTTCGCTCTTCAGCATATCGTTGTAGTATTTGCTTTTCCTGCTCATAAAGTATTAAGGTCGAATAAGTTTCCTTGAATTTCAAATTTGACATCACTTGAGGGAATGCTTAGTGATAGATCAATGAGAAAGAGAGAGAGCATGTTGGGCTAAACTTAAAAGTAAATAAAAGTTACTTATGTCAAACATGCTTGGGTATGTTTTTTTTTCTTTACTTTAATTAAAAAAATAATAATAATACTTACTTGGAAAGTAACTCACTCTTCATTGCAAATTAACTTATTTCCAACTTTAACAAATGAAAAATATTTATATTAAAACCTACTTATTTACTTATAAGTTAAAGTTTCAAGCTTATCAGACATGCTCGTAATGTGTCACCACCATACCTTTAAAAGCTTTTTCTGGATTCCAAAACCTTTTCTCTGGACTTGAAGGACAGCAAGAAGTTTAGTATATGTCTCAATTGAATCCTTTAAATTTCCCTGTGCAATCTGCAGTTTGGCCTTAGTCCGTAGCAATTCTCCTTGATCCCACTTTCCCGTCTCATCCAGAGCAGCATCAATTATGTTCTCGGCATCTACATACCTTTTCTGAGCTGACAAAATACGAGCAAGAAGAATCCATCCCTTTATGCTAGACCCAGCCTCCAGTTTCAAAAGCTGTTTTGCATAATAAAGAGCAACATTCATCTTTCTCTGTTCGGCATTTTCTAGACTTAGGTGATACAAAACACAAACATTTTTCTCCTTCGTCATTCTTTGTGCATTTTCAAGGGCCTCAAGTGCTTTAGATTGTCTCAACGTCCTCTGAGAATCAGAACCAACACCTCTAGATTGAATTGAAAGAGAGACACCGAGTAAACAATTTGCAACGCTAGCGATCTCGTCACATTTCCCATCAGATTCAGAAAAAAGTTTGTAAACATATCCTATTCCTTCATCAAGGCAATTAGGAATCTCTGTGCAAATCTTTGAAGCCAATAATAATTCAAAAGCAGAGTTATGGATCTCTCTATTATTCAATAGGTTCCTCAACAGATTTAAAGCAATCACATTGTCACCCTCCGCATAGTAAGTCAGAGCTAAAGAATTGTATTTTTCTTTTTCATCAATGATTCCAGGAGGCAACTCTTCAACCTGATACGCAAGGGACTGAAATTCGCCTGCTATAGATAATGCAAAAAAGAGGTGATTCAAGATTGATGGATCCCATCCAATCCTTTTGAGGCTAAATTCTCGGAGAATAAGTAGTAGTAGTAGAACAGCCTCTTCTATATTGTTTCTAGGTATGAAGGCACCCTCCATCTGTACACGAAGATTTGGAGGGGAAGCATCATTACCACTATAAAGGAGGAATATAGCGAAGTCCTTTTCTACTTTTGTTCTGGTTTCTATATCAAGATTCCACTGATAAAGTAGGGCCCGCCTATAGGCTAAAATTGCTTCTTGAGGAGTATAAGCAAGCTTCCATAGCTCTGGAAGTAACTCAACAGCTTTGTTTAAGGTCTCCAGCAATTTACAATCAAAAGCAAAACTTTCAGGCAGGCCATCTGGGATTGCAGATTCAACAGTGTCCAATATCACCTTGCAAGATTGAGCCGCTTCTGCTAATCCCAAGGATGAAAGCTTAGCATTTCAATCAAAAGATCAAAAGCACATATTTGAAAAAATATGCACACGTAGAACGGGGAGGGAGAAAGAGAAAATTATCTGCATGTACCACTACATAGTGAAAAATGTTACGTACCCGTAAACTTTCCAAGAGCCTGCAGTGATTTTGCTTTTAGAAAAATTGCTTCAAAGAGCAAACTTACTGCATGGATAGACATAGCTGGGGTAGCGTCACTTTGCGAATGACGTCTAGGGAGCTCGCATCTTCTAGCTATGGTGATTTTTATCTTAGGAATCACTGCTGCAATATCAATTCCTTCAAACACACTAAGGGCACCCTCTATGTTCCCTTTTTGATACTCAAGTCGCCCCAATAAAGCTCTAGCTTCCTATGAATTAAACAGGTTAAGTTATGATGTTAAGCAATGCAATAATTCTTGTCGGGATCTTTTTATATGATTAATATTATTCGGAAGTATATAACTTCAGCAATTATATTACTCCCACATAAAAGGAAGGCACTAATAAAACCTGATATTGAACACTGTACTGCATCCATAAGAAGAAACCAGGATCACTTCTCCCAAATTAGCAGACCTTCGTAATAAGTTATAGGAGAATAATGGCCAAATTTAGAAATTCCAGCAGCTAACTTTATATTAGTTACTTAATACTCACGGCAATTAAGAAACGAGCCACGTAAAGAATGATTAATCATTAATTAATACTTAGATTTGAATCAGTTTTGCATGAGCATTCTTCAAATTTAAGATTTTTTGCATGAACGACAGTTTAAAGTAAAAATTATTTTTGAAGACAGGAACTTTCTAGTTATTAATCCTAGGAAATGCTTAGATGTGAATAGTTAGAAACTAATACAGAAATCTCAATTCACGGTATGGGAGAAGCAAATTGCAGAACGAAAAAGATAAGCCAACTAGATAAGCATATATAGCATGCTTTGTTGGGAGGTTTAGACAAGTATTGGACAGTATTAAGAAAGAATGTGAATATAAAATCACATTTCTTATATTTCCATGTCCTGTCTAGTAGATGTGCATTCAGGGTTAACTGTTGACCTGGCTTGGACCCTTTTAATCTCTAACCGTCTTTCCAGTTGAACCTTTCAATTAGAAAACTATGGATTCTTTCTCAAAGCAATAGTTACACAAAAAAGAAAAAAAAAAAAAAAAAAAAAAAAAGCTAATTTTATAATGATCATCACAAATACAAGAAAATTTTGATGCAGTGAAGCTTGGAATTACCAACCTCATAATTCAAAAATCCACTCTCACGAAGTGATGATTCTGCCTCTTCTATATTGCTGGTGTCCAACTTAGGGTCAGCCTCGCCTGGTCGAGAAGAATACCCACTGGCTGAATAATCCCGAGTCGCCAGGGACTCCGATGAAGGAATTATTTCATCTGCTGTTAAGTGCTCTCCGGAGCAAATGCATTTCATCATCTTCCTCAATTTTAAGCTGAAGCTAATTTTCAGTTTGTATATCCAATACTTAATGCTCATCCCGTCTCATTACAGTTGCGATGTTTCTAATCACCAACTAATTAAAAGAGAGCAATAAAGTCCAAACCCTTTAATAGAAATGCACCAGCTAATCATATTTTTACACATGAAAAGAGAAAGGGAAGCAGACAGAAGAAAGAAGCAAATGAACACAGATTTTGACATCTACAGTTTTCAATTTAGGATTCGTAAAAGATTTCGCCTTCATCTTGAATTCGAGTTTCCAATCCTTCTCCATTAAATAGAAATGCATCAACAGAAAATATCCACAAATTATGCAATTGTAAATACTAAAAAGTCTGAAGAAACTATTAAGCAAATTCTTGAAGTCCTCAAAAACTCCTTAAAACTTCAACATTTACACATTACCTCTTAATTAGAAAGAACCCCCAAAAAATGCAAAGATCAGTTCAGAAAATGGCAAACATTATCCACAGATAGAGTTGAACAATAAAAAAAACGGATGCATCAAAGTTCTTCAAAGAGGACTTTAGAAAATATATGTGACTCAAAAGTTCATCAGTATTCACCAAACATCCAAATAGATTTAGCACCAGAGACTCAAAATAAGTCAAAGAATGCAACTTTTGACAGAAAAAAAGCTGAAGATAAAAAGATCCCTATCATATCATAGTGAAAACAACCAACAGTTAAAAAGAAAAAGTAAAAGAAAAAAATCACTCATTGAAAAAAATACCTTTGGCTCGGTAAAAAGCATTGACTGAGCCCACAACACATCATAACCACCACTACCCATTTTTATCTCGAGCAAAAATTTTCTTGATTTTACGGTTTATCGACCAAGAATCCAAGGTTTATTCATCATTATTGGTTTTTTTTTTTTGGCGGAATAAAAATGTTGTTTGGGTTTAATTTTCTCTGGCTTCGAGTGATTCTGTAGTGGGAACTGTTGAAATGAAGGTTCAAAGCCAGAGAAAATGTCTGTTTTTTGGTTGGTTTGCATTAAATATGATATTTAACATCAGCCTGAATCTTCCATTTCAGAGCAGAAGTGTGAACGTGGATCAATATTTCTTTTTATATAAATTAATGTTAATAATTATTAATTATTGCTGCTGTATGTAAAAAGACAAAAAAGCAGTATCAAGGGGGTCCCACTGTTGAATTTATTGTCACCAATGTGCACGCAAATTTTCAGTCAATTTTGAACCACGTTCTGGGAACTGTTATCACAAAGTCTCCTTGATTTGGCAGAAGGAATAAGTTACTTGAATATAATATGGTGTTAATGTTGGGTATCCATCCCCTTACACAGAAGAAAACTCACTTTAAATAAATTATATTTTATTCGAAATGAATTCCTATCCATATAAAAGGGGAGGACACCGATATAAATCACCTTTGGAAGAATTATGCTTTCACAAGAAAGTGTTTTTTTTTTCTTATGCATTGTCCCATGGAACAATATCAAAAAAAAAAAAATAAAAAAAAAAAAAAAATATTATATATATATATATATACACACACATGTAACATGATTGGGTTTGGATGGGAGGAAAATTCATGAGCAGTCAAACTTGAAAAGGTTATAAATTATACAAGTCTTAAACAAATAACCATTTTAATAGATGGAAGTTTGAAAATAAAAACAATTTAATTATTTATACCACAAAGTAAAATTTACTCTTAACCCAAATATAGATTAAAATTTTAATTTTAATTAATAATTATTTTAACAACATATTTTATAAAATCCACAACTTTTCAACCACACATTTCATCAACTTTAATTAAAATTTACTAAAAAATTTGATTTCAATCCTCAACAACACATGACCTTAATGTAATTTCGAGTATGAGAAAGAGCATCGTGAAAATGACAATTAGTATATCAAACTTTGTGTAAGGCCTAAACGATTAGAGTTTGTGATGATTTCACTATAAATTTTGAGAAAAAAAAATTAATAATAATTGTTTGTAATGAATTCACTATAAATTTTGATAATGAGGTGCTTCAGGTATTCTAACATATTCCAGAATTCTAAAATTACCCTTTTCTAGCCATGGAAATTGGATCCATTCTTGCTTTCAACAAGCCAAAACAGCACTTCAAATTTTCCCCATGCAAAATATAATGATCTTTTAAAAAAATAAAATAAAAAAATATCGAACATTATATACAATTTATTTACATAAGAGAGCCAAACAGGATATGGTACTGTCAGCCAGGGAACCTTTTGCCCCTCTTCTGCAAAGTCTTAGCAAGGATATCACAAATCTCCCTTTTTCTTCTGTTACTATTGTTTTGATTAGGACAATTTCTGTTTACCAAAACTGTTCATTCACGGAACAAAATCAGAAAACTCACATAGGGCCCACCCCATGTGAGTTTTATATTGAAAAAAAAAAAATCATCCACCCTGCCTGTATGTGTGTTCTGTAGATTATCTGTATCCCTTGTTTTTGTTCGTGAAGAATGACCAGATTATCCTCATTGATGTTTGGTGAATTCTTCCAGTCATGTAGGGCATCTCTGATGAAAAACTTCAATTTCCATAAAGTTGACTCAGTCTGCATCAATCACATAAACAAATCAATTACTTGCATTATATCTGAAACAATAAACGCATGTTTGATAAGCAATACCAACATTATAATGAACAAGATTTTAGCTTCTTTTACAGAAAACCTTTTGAAAAGACGAGTTGTGAAAGGGTTATAACCTGAACGTCCATGTTAATTTCCACGTCTTCCCTGGCTGCTTGAAAGTCAGGGTTTTTCTAGGCAACGATTTCTACAACCTTGTCGATATCCTCAGGACATAACTTGGCAATTGCACTGCTAAGTCTTCTCTTCTCTTCAGTTGACATTTTTCTGGAAAAACAGACTTCAAAACTGAGCACCAGGATATGCATCTAAAGTAGAGATCGACCAAAATTGCATTCCTAATTATTCTTACAAATGAAATAAAAGCCATGTGATTCAATTAATTAATTAATCTGCAATAGTGATGAAAGGGTTGAAGGGGAAACACTGCATTGAATCATGTACCATAATCATAAGTTCATAACCAACTACATGGAAGTTTGGTAGGGCACTTAAATGAGCATCACATCATTTTTAACAATAATTTTAGGCGAAACATTTTGTCTATTAAATTTTACAACTGAGATTTCCTCAACGGCAAAAGATATTCAGCAAGTGGATGCAATATACGAATTTGGTGTAGATAGAAAGAAATCCAGTGTACGTTTTCACTTCTTGCAAGAAAGATGGCACATTGTTAATTAGAAAATAACGACGTCACAGGGAATACAATCTCACTTTAACAACTGCTAGATACTAATTTACCTAGAGAGTTCATCGGAAATAATGCTTGGTATTTCATTATTTGTTTGTTTGCAAGACTTAACATGACATAAGCTTAATTAAGTTATTGATATTTACGCATAACATATGCAAACATGTTAGATAAGAAAATTAAGTTCATGAAAAGATCTAGAATATAACAACTGAGACCTCAGCATGGTATACAGGATGGAAAAAAGAAAAAAAAAAGGAAGGGAAACAAAAAAAGAATAAAAAGATCCCGTCCTGTTATACACTTAATTAAAGAGAAATATGATCGAGTGAAAAATACTGTTAGTGCTCCAAAATCCCACGAATATCACTTTCTCATTTTTTTATGTATTCTCTTAATACCCTATTAAGGGAATCCTCACTTTTTTTTTCTCGATTTATTTAATAAGTAAACTCTTTCTTCCATATTCTAAAATGGCCTCACGTAGTTGTTGGCATGCAAGCACGAGTTCTCAGTATATATTATGAAATAAAGAGATTACTATAGATATTTTCTATTTTTAAATTATTGTGCTACTGCACTTTATGAAATTGATTTATAACTTACTAAAATATACTAACTTTTTTAATATAGTGTTTGAGTGTTTGTACATATATATTTCATTTTAAAAATATCTTATAGATAGACTTCCCAACTGGCAATGACCCACCTATTGATGTCCAAGTCGGTTTGATAACTATGTTTGAAACTGGTTTTAAACAAATTTTATTATAATTTTATCATGAAAAGGAGGGCAGTTAAAATGTTAGATTATCCTGTGTCAACATACAGGGGCAGATCTAGCTGGTGGTGAGCTTGGGCGGCCGTCCTAGCTGGATCCACCGGAACCACCGGACTGTTGAAGAGCAAAATGCAGCCACCCTAGCTGGACGTCGGAACCGTCGGAACAGAGGAGCAGAAACATTGCAGAGATAGACACAATCGTTGGGGAGGGAGGGAAGAAAGAAGAAGATATGATTTGGGTTGCCCGTGTGAATTTGTAATGACTTGGGTTGTTGCCTAAACGATGGGCGGTTGGGTTTGTGGGTGGGACTTTCTTTTTTTTTTTTTAAATAAAAAATAGAGAGGCCCAAATCAATGAAATCATCCATTAATGATTTAATCCATACCCATATCATTTCCCCCCAGATGAAATCCCGTCAATTTGGCAAGAGCAAAGAGCAAACCCTTGAATTCTTTCCATTATTCGCCCCTTGATTTGATAATTTCCATCCACATTTCCATTCAAAGTGTGAAGTGGGTTGACTGCGTAGTGGGCTAGTGGCGTGTGGGTTGCGATTGTGAAGTGCGAGTTGGGGTCGGGCGGTGCAAGCAGTAGTGTACCATGTGAGATTGTGCGAACTGCCAAGGAGAAGAAGCTGTGTGCATCATGGGTCAGGGACTCAAGGTGAGTTCACTGTTCTTCATACTTGAAGTCTTGAATAGTTGAATTGTTTTTGTTGAATGTTGAATACTTTTGTTTCAAATCCTTTTGTTATCTTGTCTGTTTTTGGTGAATTGCGATTGCGAAGTGAAATCAGAATCTCTTTTTGTTGAATTGTTGAAACTTATATGTTGAATTGTTGATTTGTTGCACTTATTTGTTGAGAGTTGAGAGTGTTTGTGGGCTCCAATTTGATTGATTTGTATGGTAAATGAGGGAGATTAACTCTGAACGCAAGGTGCTTGATGGAGTGAGCGTGACAAATGAGGTCTCTCTTAATTTCTTTTGGGTTCTCAAATTTTTACCAAAATTATTCGTGATTAAATTTTATCTAAACCTAGGTTTCAAAATTTATTTTCTGTTGTTTATTTTTGTCTTTATTTTGGCGAATATTACGTAGGAATTGGATAGTTTAAAGTTAGGGCAGTGTGACGAGAGATTGATTTACGAGGTTATGTGAGATTAATATGTATTTTAGCGATACTATGTAGGAGTTGGATATCATGTATTTTATATTATTTTGAATTGTATTGAACTATAATTTGATATAAATATACGATTTTTATGCTTTAGTGTATTTACATATAGATTGAAGAATTTTAATATTATTTAATTTAATATTAATAAATGACATCGCTATACGGCTGTTGACTGTCGTCGGTCAACGGTTAACGACCGCCCTAGTTGAGTTTAAGTCCTGGATTCGCCACTGTCAACATATTCTTAAATTCCCGTAGATTACACGTTTTGTGCATTATTGTGTCACCCCAAGTTCTCAAAGAACTTGGGGAAAGATGGGCTGGCCGGTGACGTGCGTCATAAGATAAATTGTGATAAATTAAATCCTCATATAATTTTCATATTATGTCACAACGATTTTGTCCTTATACCCCTCAACAAAACGGGATAGCTGAAAGCAAGAATCATCACCTCCTTAACATGGTTAGAGCCTTTCTGATTAAGTCTTCTATTCCTTCTCGATTTTGGTGTGAAGCATTGTCTACTGCTGTTCATCTCATAAATCGATTACCTTCTCATACTCTTGATAATATTTCTCCATTTCACAAGCTCTTCGGTCTATTCTCATCTTCATCCCTTTGGTTATGTTTGTTTTGTGAATTTACCACCAAATGAAATGACAAAACTAACACCTCAATCTAACAAGTGTGCTTTTTTGGGATGTGGTAGAACTCAAAAAGGTTATATACGACACATCGCATTAGGATCTCTCGCAATGTTGTTTTCATTGCAAAACAATCTTTCTTCACTTCAAAAATTGTTGTTTCTCCTCATGTGTTCTCTGTCTTACTTGATTTCTCTACAGAATTTTCATGATACAAATCGAGTCTCGTTTACAATCGTAGGGATGCTGCACCAGAGCCCCTTTCTCAGATTTCTGCCTCCTTAAGGCCTCTTGATCCTCTACCCACGACACCAAATCTTTTACTTCCTGCCCCTCTATGTTGCAGTTCTCGTGTTCTCGACCTCTTGATAAGTATGATTTTTCCTTCCATAGCTCTATGTTTGTTACCCTTAACTTGGTTTCCATCCATTCCTTTTATAAACAGGCTATAGAAAAGAAGTGTTGGCAACAGGCGATGAATGCAGAACTTTGAGGCCCTTGAGGCTAACCACACTTGGGATGTAGTGTCATGCCTCCTGACCATGAAACCCATTGGAAGTAGATGGGTATATACGATCAAACTTCGTTCTAATGATTCTCTTGAATGCGGAACTTTGAGGCTCTTGAGGCTAACCACACCTGGGATGTAGTGTCATGCTTCCTGACCATGAAACCCATTAGAAGTAAATAGGTATATTCGATCAAACTTCGTTCTGAGGGTCCTCTTGAACGCTATAAGGCTCAGTTGGTTGATTAGGTGATCGTCAAGAGTATGTAATCGACTATAACGAGACATTTGCTCACGTGGCTAAGATGACTGCAGCTTGTCTCTTATTATCACTTGTTGCTTCCTAATCTTGTTCTCTACATTAAATGGATGTAAAGAATGCGTTCTTACATGGAGACCTCGAAGAAGACATTTATATGAAACTTCCATCCGATATGTCCTTTTCCTTAGCGGATTGCATATATAAGCTAAAACGTTCTTTGTATGGTCTTAAGCATACCCCTCGAGCATGTTTTGACAAGTTTCACCGCACCCTCTTAGACTTCTCCTTCACTCAAAGTAAGTATGATGCATCTTTATTTTTATAAGAGTTCTGCTGGCATTGTTTGCTTGTTGGTATATGTGGACGATATTGTTATTTCTAGATCCGATCATGTCCTTATTCAACATCTTCACTCTATTTTTCATATGAAAGACCTTAGTCATCTTACTTACTTCCTTGGTTTGGAGGTTCATAATATACATGGTACCTTCTTGATTCGATTGGGTGATTTATGTGATGCATCCTTTATGGATACTCCGCTAGAGCTTAATGTAAAATATCGAAAAGATGAAGGCGATATTCTTCCCAACCCCACTCTTTATTGGAAGTTGGTAGGTAGTCTCATCTATCTCACTATCACACGTTCGGATATTTTCTTCGCAGTTCATACTATCAACAAGTTTATGGACGCCCCCCGTCATTTTCAATTGGTAGTTCACTAAATTATTCACTATCTTATTGGGACTCCCCACTGTGGTCTATTCTTCTCTCAAGGAATGCCTCTTGAACTCATAACTTATAGAGATGTTGACTAGACCGGTTGTCCTAATTCTTGTCGTTCTACTACTAATTGGTGTATCTTTCTTGGAAATGCTCTTATTTTGTAAAAATCTAAAAATAAAATAAAATTGTGTTTCTAAGTCCTTCATTGAAACTGAATACCGAGTTATGTCCACTGCAAGTTCTAATGTTGTGGCTACATGGTCTTCTTGTAGAACTTGAGTTTCCTAATTACAGCCTACACCTTTCTACAGCGACAACACTAGTGCTATTTAAATTGCGGTGAATCTTGTGTACCATGAACGCACCAAACACATTGAAGTAGAATGTCATTACATTCGAGACGCCTATGACTCCAAGATCATCTCAATTTAGACCTTAATTATGTGAACCTTTTCACTAATGGAAATCAAATGAAGTACAGAATTATTAATTTATCACAATTTGTCTTATGATGATTAATTCGCTCACTCCAAGGTCATCTCAGTTTAAACCCAAATTACGTGAACTTTTTCGCTAATGGAAATCAAATAAAGTACAGAACTATTACGAAGTACAGATAACAAGTTTATAAGACAATGCAAACATCATTTCACCAAAAAATTAAGATGTAAAGCTAAGTAGAACTTATATGTAGATAAATGACAAACCTGCAGTTCTGAAGTACCATATCTTTGAGTTCTACCCTGTCCAGCTGTAAAAGATTGAAATAGTTTTCAGACTTCCAAGATTTTCTTCAATAGAGTGAAATACCAAGAGAAACACCAAGATATAAAAGTTTAGTAATTCTAAAAGTTTTAGTTTTTTTCTTGGATATTGTCTTTGCAGAAAGTGTTTTATTTGTAACTACCTCAATATGTAAATCCTCACGGCTTTTTGATATTTATTAATACAAAACTAAGGTGTATGGAGTTATAAGAGAGACAAGTTTACTCCATTTACTTATCTGGTCAGTGGTCACTATGAGTGAATGAAACAAATGGTATTCATCAATGAACACCTGGAATTTTGAATTATGTCTTTACTCACATTAAAGTTCGTGTCTAGGCGAAGTGTATCTAAAAGTTCTCATGCCAGTAAAGAAAAAGGCCAAACCAATACAATTAGATCTTAGGTCATCAAAGAATTCTATAGACTAACTACTCATATGTTACTGAATTTTGTGTGCTCTACTTGATCGAATTTTAATTCAAAGGAAAGAAAGTGTGGAGCTTAAATAACTCATCCGAACACTTTTTAAAGGATTAAAAGGTATGATTAGGTCAAATAAGCTCTTTTCGAATAAATATTCATACCAAATAAAAAAGAATAATACTAGACTAGAATTTTATGATTGATCCGATTCAAGATGGTCGAGAGGTAATTCATTCATTGAATTTATAAGTGAAAGATTTACGTCTTTATGGGATTATATCCCGAGTTATTGCCAAGTAAAAAAAATGATGAGATCATGGAAGTAAATATTCTAACATTTATTGCTACTGCACTATTCATTCTAATTCCTACAACTTTTCTACTTATCATTTACATAAAAACAGTTAGTCAAAACGATTATTTCAATTAAATTTTCAAATGAATTTGAATGAAACTTTCCTTTTGAATATACATTTTGTAGTGGATCTTTTACAAGATCAATTCAGATTGGCTTTGGTTCGTGTTTTTGCTGGTATTGACCCAAATTTGGATGCTAATGTAGAGTTTGGAGCATTACAAAAACATGAGGATCCAATGGTAGTCTAATACAAGACTGCTTTGGTATCTTCAACTCTATTTTCTTTTTCAGTCTATTTTCATTTTTGGGGGAATTTTACATGAGAGTATCAGAGTGAATTTGAATCACTACATTTTTACTCTTGCTCTTTCTTTATCGAAGAGATGATTCCCGAAGAAACAAAAAATAAATAGGTATGGAAGCTATAGTTGTAAATTGTTGTCGAAAATTCGACTAACGCAATCAAAAGAACAAATAAAATAAGCAGAAAAAATAGAAAATAGTAGATAAAGCGAGGCATGCCAAAGCAAATTTCCTTAAGATAGATTTCGCCCCCCAATGAAGTGCAAACGGGATTATGGAATACTGTCTTCCAAGATACAACGCTCTTTCCAAAGTCGATAATGCACAATACCAACCTTGTCGGTCGAACCAATGAATGATCGTACTCGAACGTAATAACCACGAAAATATAAGAGAATTTATAGAGCAGAATATGGAGAGAGAAGAATTTAGAAATCAATTGAATTTGTAATTGATTTGGTGTGAAAAAAAAAAAGAATCTGGAGGTTTCTATTTATAGAGATTGAAGTGTCTCATGGAACAGGTGTGTGACATATCAGGAACTGGTGCACCACTTGGTTTGATTCGTCTTAGCCATTGGATCACACTATTTTCATGATCTGACGGCCCAGATTGAACCATGAAGTGAAGTGTCCATTTATCATGCCTATTCACCAATTTCTGAACAGTCACAACCATGCGGATGCCACGCATACATCTAACCGCCACGCAGGATGAAGGGACACGACCTACCACGCGTGCACCACCTAGAATGCCAACTCACCGAGCCTTGCGCTGCCACGTCATCGAACCACAAGTCCATTTCCAAAAACTATAAGGCTCCTCAGGACGATGCGTACGTGCGAAGTGCCAAGTGCGCCTCTAAAGCGCCCAATGCGTACTTTGCGACGTGCGTGTGTCGGCGCGAGTGGTGCGAAGCACCACTCTAGTGGTGACTAAAAAACTAGCTAAAGTTAGCCTAGTGGTAGGTAACTTATTATATTATATATTATTCACACAACTCACTATATAAACAAGACTATTTTCTTGTAAACTTTTGATATGAGATTCCTTCCCATAAATAAAACACTTAAAATGAGCTTATCAACATATGGGCCTATATTGGAGACTTTTTCAATTCACCCAAATTAATTGCAATGGCCCGCATCATTAAATATTACATTTAATATTTTAACCCAATTACATTCAATTAATTCCAACAATCCCCCTCATGAATGGAAGAAGTCGACTCAAATCAAGGAAGACGAAAGAAGAGTACTATCTGAAAGATAACGCATCAAGATAGGTAGCTCTCGCTTTGAACCTTCTTTAGTAAGAATCTATCGAACTCACTTGGCTAATCAGTGAACATAACGTTTTGAACTGTCAGCCGTTATTGCAAGCTCAAAAAATAGACCAAACACATTATCTCTCATATCAAACGTGGTTCTCTATTGTGTTTATTATTTCGGCCCTGAACTACTTAGGCTCTGCGAGTGCTTTAGAGAATTCGCATAAGTAAATTCTCATAGAACCGGCCAAGTTCGCACTAACATAGGTGATATACTATAAAGAATACCCTACTGTAATTATTTGTACCATTTATAGTCATCATTAAAAGCAAATCTTATCCTTAATACACTTCATAGTCAGCACTTTTTGCATCGTAGAAATGGGAAGGAGTTAAACTCCTAAGTGCTTCTTATCGAGTCATTCATAATTAGTTTTCCTATTGAACCTAGTCCATGGGATCTCTAGTTGGCAGGTTAGGTTTCCACTAAGATGACTCATTGGGTTTTAGGCTTTAAACCCATTTCCCTCGATGCGCAGTCTATACGCTCTCTAGATAACCCTTTAGTGAACGGATCCGCTAGGTTTTCTTTTGAATTAACAAAATCAATTGATATTGTTCCATTTGAGAGCAACTGCCAAAAGGTGTTATGTCTACGACGCATATGTCTTGATTTACCGTTAGACACAAAATTTTCAGCCCTGACTATTGTGGCCTGGTTATCACAATGAATACAAATAGTTGGTACAGGCTTTGGCCATATAGGAATATCTTCTATGAAATATTTTAACCATTCTGCTTCTTCTCCTGCTTTGTCTAAAGCAATAAACTCAGATTCCATAGTAGATCGAGCTATACACGTTTGCTTAGAAGATTTCCTTGATATAGTGCCACCACCGAGAGTAAATACATAGCCACTGGTAGACTTTGACTCGTCTGTATCTGATATCCAATTGGCATCCTATATCCTTCAATTACTGGAGGATATTTTCCATAATGTAATGAATACTCTCTGGTCCGTTTCAAGTATCCCAAAACTCTAAGTAATGCATCCCAATGTTGATTACTTAGGTTACTTGTGTAACGACTTAGCTTACTTACCGAGTAAGCTATATCAGGTCTTGTACAAATCATCAGGTACAGTAAACTACCAATAATTTGGGAATATTCTAACTACTGTTTCCCATTTCCGCTATTCTTGTGAAGAACTATATGTGGAAGAAATGAGTTACTCGTCTCTTTAATATTATGAGTCTTAAACCTCTCAATTATTTTATCAACATAATGGGTTTGAGATAAGATTATTCCATTTGATGTTCTAGATATCTTTATTCCTAGAATCACGTCTGTTTCACCCATATCTTTCATGTCAAAGTTATTGGTAAGTATATTCTCTTGTTCTATTGATGACTTCTATATTAGTCCCTAATATAAGCATGTCATCAACATACAAACAGACGAGTACGTACACCTTTTCAAATTTTTCGAATATACGCATTTGTCACATCCATTTATAACGAATCCATTCCTAATCATGACACTGTCAAACTTTTCGTGCTATTGTTTAGGAGCTTGCTTCAAATCGTATAAGGATTTAACTAGTTTGCAAACTTTGTTCTCTTGTCCTTTCACTATGAAACCTTCTGACTGTTCCATATATACTTCTTCGTTTAAATCACCATTCAGGAATGCAGTCTTAACATCCATTTGATGTATTTGTAAGTTGTACAAGGCTGCAATAGCAATTAAAACCCGAATAGAAGTAATTCTTATTACTGGAGAATATGTGTCAAAGAAATCAATTCCTTCTTTCTGAGTTATCCTTTTGCAACCAGTCGAGCCTTGTATTTGTCTATTGAACCATCAAATCTTAACTTTCTTTTAAAGATCCATTTGCATCCTATTTGTTTAGTTCTCTTAGGAAAATCAACCAATTGCCAAGTATTATTACTCATAATAGATTCAATTTCACTATTTATAGCTTCCTTCCAGGATACGGATTCTGGACTTGTTATAGCTTTTTTAAATGTTGGGGGCTCTTTCTCAATTACGAAAGAAATAAAGTCTAGACCAAAGGATTTAGCGACCTTTACTCTTTTACTCCTTCTTGATTCAGGTTCTATATTGCTTTCAATAGCATTATCTCGTGTTCTCTTTTGAGTATTCTTAAGAATATATCTTTTATTAGGGAACACATCTTCAAAGAATTCAGCATCTCGAGATTCAAAAATTGTATTGACATGAATGTCACTTATATCAGATTTATGCACAAGAAATCTGTACGCACTACTATTTATTGTATATCCGATAAAAATACAATCAATAATTTTAGGATCTAACTTAATCCTTTTGGGAGGTGGAATAGCCACTTTAGCTAGGCACCTCCATACTTTTAAGTATTTATAGGAAGGCATTCTACCTTTCCATAACTCATAAGGTATCGAACCAGTTTTCTTATGGGGAACTCTATTCAGAATAAAGTTAGCAGTTAGCACTGCTTCCCACCACAAGTTTTGTGATAATCCAGAACTTATAAGCATAGCATTAACCATATCTTTTAGAGTTCTATTTTTCTTCTCAGCAATCCCATTTTGCTGCGGAGTATACGGGACTGTTGTTTGGTGAATAATACCAAACTTAGCACATAATTCATCAAACATGGACGAATCATATTTACCACCTCTATTGGATCTTAATACCTTAATTGTTTTTCTAAGTTGATTTTCAACTTCGTTTTTGTAAGTAACAAATGCATTCAATACTTCGTATTTGCTACTTAATAAATAAACTTGACAATATCTACTGTGATCATCTATAAACGTGATAAAATATTTTTTACCACCTCGAGTCTGAACAAATTTTAGATCACAAATATCGCTGTGTATTAAACACAACGGTTTACTACTCCTTTCAATTGTGTTAAAAGGTTTTTTAGCAAATTTTGTTTCAACACGAATTTTACATTTATGTTTGTCTTTGGAGTCAAGTTTAGATATAAGACCTAAACCTACAAGTTTTCTTAAGGAAGCACGATTTACATGTCCTAATCTGCTATGCCATAAATTCGAAGATTCAAGCAAGTAAACAGAAGCATTAGTTTTATTGATAACTTGTGGATACAAATATGTGGATTTTTTGTCCACTACAACAACATTGGCCTTAAATAGACTATCAAGTAAATAACCCTTCTCAACATACATGCCCCCCTTAGTAAGTACAAATCTATCAGATTCAAACACCAGTTTAAATCATTTTTTACTAAGAATAGCTCCTGAAATCAAATTCTTTCCGATATTTGGGACGTGTACAACTTCATTAAGTGTCAGTTCCTTCCCCGATGTGAATTTCAGAATAACCTTTCCAATCCCTTCAATATTGGATGTTGTAGAATTTTCCATGTAAAGACACTCATTATGATTCAAAATCTTATATTTAGCGAATAGACCCTTATCTGCACAGATGTGACGAGTTGCTCCTGTGTCCAACCACCAATCCTTAGCATTAGATACCAAATTAACTTCAGAAACAACAGCAGATAGATTGATGTCTCCAACATCCGTAGAAATTTTATCAACTTCGGTTATATTGGCTTGGGGTGGTTTCTTTTTCTGTGTATCTTTCTTTTTGCTTCGGTAGTCTTTAGCCCGATGTCCCGGCTTCCTGTAAATATAACAGTTTCCTTTGAACCATTTTGCATTGTTGACTTTTTCTTTATCCATAGATGAGCCAGAACGCTTCATTTTCTTATTCTTAGACCCCAAGTCTTTCACCATGTTAGCCTTTGCTTCCATGTTACGGACATTATTCTTCTTTTCTGCAACCCGGTTGTCTTCTTCAATGCGAAGTCGAACAATTAGATCCTCCATCGTCATCTCTTTGCGTTTATACTTGAGATAGTTTTTGAAAATCTTTCCATAGTGGAGGTAATTTCTCGATCATAGCAGCAATCTGGAAAGATTCACTCAAAGTCATACCTTCAGCTTCAATATCGTGAAGTAGAACTTGTATCTCTTGAACCTGACTTATAACTGTCTTTGAATCAGTCATCTTGAAATCTAGAAATTTGCCGACAATAAATTTCTTCGTTCCGGCATCTTCGGTTTTATATTTTTTGTCAAGAGACTCCCACAGTTTTTTAGTCATCTTGTAATTACAATACACACTATATAAAGTGTTATCCAATCCATTGAGAATGTAATTACGGCATAAGAAATCTGCATGTTTCCATGCTTCAAAAGCTAACTGAGTATTTTTATCAGTAGCATTCTCCGATGTTTGTGTAGGACATTCTTCACGCAGAAATTTTACTAAGTTCAATGTTGTCAAGTAGAATAGCATCTTCTGTTGCCAACGTTTGATATTCGTGCCATTGAACTTTTTCAGTTTCTCATGTTGTGAAGCCGGTGGCATGAAAAATTGATTGGAACCAGAATTTGGTGCAATTACAGCATTAGTATTGCTCTCAACAATACCAATCACAGTGCTAGCATTATTATCTGATGTACTAGGCATTTTCTGTAAAACCACAATTATAAAAAATAATCAATAATAGAAATGTAGAAGAAATGAGAAAATATATCTGTCTTAAGATTGTTGTCGGAAATTCGACTAACGCAATCAAAAGAACAAATAAAATAAGCAGAAAAAATAGAAAATAGTAGATGAAGCGAGGTATGCCAAAGCAAATCTCCTTAAGACATATTTCGCCCCCCAATGAAGTGCAAACGAGATTATGGACGTTTGTCTCCCAAGATACAACGCTCCTTCCAAAGTTGATACTGCACAATACCAATCTTGTCGATCGAACCAATGAATGATCGTACTCGAACGGAATAACCACGAAAATATAAAAGAATTTTTAGAACAGAATATGGAGAGAGAAGAATTTAGAAATCAATTGAATTTGTAATTGATTTGGTGTGAAAAAAAAAAGAATCTGGGGGTCTCTATTTATAGAGATTGAAGTGTCTCATGGAACAGGTGTGTAAAAATTGAGGAACTGGTGCACCACTTGGTTTGATTTGTCTTAGCCATTGGATCGCACTATTTTCATGATCTGACGGCCCAGATTGAACCATGAAGTGAAGTGTCCATTCATCATGCCTATTCACCAATTTCTGAACAGTCACAGCCATGCGTACATCTAACCGCCATGCAGGACGAAGGGACGCAACTTACCACGCGTGCGCCACCTAGAATGCCAACTCACCGAGCCTTGCACTGCCACGTCATCGAACCATGAGTCCATTTTTGAAAACTATAAGGCTCCTCAACTCCTTGCGACAATGCGTACGTACGCCTCTAAAGCGCCCAGTGCGTACTTTACGACGTGCGCGTGCCGAGACCGGGTTCGGGTCCGGGGAGCGACGCGAGTGGTGCGAAGCACCACTCTAGTGGTGACTAGCCTTTGGCTAGCTAAAGTTAGCCTAGTGGTAGGTAACTTATTAAATTATATATTATTCATACAACCCACTATATAAACAAGATTAGTTTCTTGTAAACTTTCGATGTGGATTCCTTGCCATATATAAAACACTTAAAATGGGCTTATCAACATATGGGCATATATTGGAGACTTTTCCAATTCACCCAAATTAATTGCAATGACCCACATCATTAAATATTACATTTAATGTTTTAACCCAGTTACATTCAATTAATTCCAATAGTAAACCACGATCGAATATATGGAAGCATCGAAGGATTAACAGGAGGGACCGACTTCAAATAGTTGTAAAAATGCAAGAAGAAACGGATGTTAGGTGGAGGTTTATAGGCTACCTAAAAAATGTGTCCAACAAAAACATGGCAACAAAGATGCTAAACGCCATAAAAAATTTTCAGGACCCCATGTGTAAGCAGCTGCAGTAGAAAGCTATAAATAATATTGCAATTATGAATGCAGAGAATTCATGATTACCTGATGTAGAATCATTGCAAATTGGCACATAAGCCTTGCATTCTCTTACTAGCAGCTTCCCTACTGGCTGTATCCTGTTTCCTCCTTTTTGAGCTGGGAAACAGCTTCTCGCTATCTTTGTCCTTCAGAACTGAGCTACCTTTTGGAGTGCTCAGCTTCTTTTTATTTGCAAAAGTGTAAAATTGCTCATCCTCATTCAAGTTTCGCTCTAGCTATAAATAAAAATAGATTATAATTCCATCATTACATGTACAGTCGTCAAAATTACTCCAGGGATCAGAATTCCATTTCCCTTTTGGTGAATACAGTAGTTGGTATCAATCATTAGTAGAATAAATGAACTCTAAATAATAAAGGAATCTTGAGTAAACAACACAAAAGAATCAGATTATCTCTTCATCCTCATTGCAAATTTGCAATACTTTCAAGATAAAATATAACGCACTGAATAATTAAACGAGACAAAATATGGAAGAAATTGAATCAAAATCGATGGAAAATGGGGAAACTTTAAATTCAATATTCATATCTAAATTCTACCTGATCAACTTTTATTAATAACTCATCCACTCATTGATTATAACTCCCCACGTTGGATACACTGCCATGGTTTTTTGCGGCGCCACCACAAGGACACCAACATCCACTGTTTCCATATGTTACTCAACAACTTCAGTCCATGTGAATAAAATTTGCAAATACAATTCCTAGTCAAAGAAACACCACAATTTCTCCAAAAGGATAATTTTTTTATGAAGTAACAACAAATAGATATCCATAAACACGGATACGCTCACAAACACGTATAATCCCTTACGTGAGCATGCATGCTTCTTTCTGTCCAAAAAATTCAGCATAAATTCTACAAAATCGAATAAACAAAAAAATTACTAGATGCCTAAGGGCTAAAGTTTGTTATCAAAACCACATATGCGCTTGCGACAATTCGAATTTCAAAATTAATTGAAAAATATAAAGTATTTGAATACCTGGTGTTTGGGAAAATCCAAGATATAGAAGAGTAATCAAGGTATGAGTTCGATATTAATTCATCTGTGCTGTCTATTTTGTAGGGCAACAATTTTTGTTCTAGTAATAAGCAGTATTATTCTAAGTGTGAAAAACGTAAAAAAGCGATTTATTATTTTATTATTTTAAAATTTTATATTAATCTAAAATTTATTTAATAATTAAAGAAAAAAGTGCTAGACGCAACTCGGCGCAAAACATAAATAAATAACTAAAAATAAAAATAAAAAAAGCAAGCAAAAAAGAAGCACGATAAAGTGCAAGGCGTTTTGCGGCCGCTTTGCTCCTAGGCATCACTTTTTATAGTACTGGTAACTAGATATGAAAATTGCTCTTTAGGGTCAAAGTAGAGAGAGATAAGTTTTATTGCTATAGTAGTAATGGATAGATTAAAGTACAAGCCTTTATTTGAGCCTCATATTTTGAAGGGTTAATTATTTGAGTGAGTATAATAAACCAAGTGTTACTATTTAATAAATGAACTTAAAATATATCTTAGTGGTTACTAAATTATGCACCGTTCATCATTCAAGTGGAAAAATTCGTTAAGTTCAACAAATGGTTTCAACTTAAGCAATAAATGGATAATACAATGCATAATTCAATGACAATTTAGTATAGTTTAATGATCTTTTTTTTTTTTTTTTAAATCTAGAGTAAATTACTTAAAAAATTACCATTAAAGACTAATTATCATAAATTAGGGGGATTAGTTTAAAATTTAAATATCAGGTGATAATAACATTTTAATAATTATAATTAATAAAAATTTAATTAAACATAATATCCATTTTCATTTCCCCATCTTCTCTCTACCTCTTTACCCACCTACAGTTGCCTGCGCTGCCACCAAAATTGAGTCGTCCCCACCACCACCACCACGACGTAAGCAGCCCCCCAATGACGGTACTGTGCAAATATCGCGTATGACAATAACGAGTGATGCAGCAACACAATAAAGCACTGTTACGAGCAACAGAGCTCTACCCACTTGTCGCTTTCTTTTCAGTGTCACTGCAAGCAATAGACCCCAACCCCTATAGAGAAAAAATGTTGTGCACAGCGATGAATCACTACGTGTGACAGTACACCAGCAAGGCACTGCTGCTGCAGCGACAAGCAACGATGTTGTTGTAGCTATGTACTTCTCTATCCCAACAATGTTGTCAAATGCACAGACGTTGTTGAGGCCTAATTTAGTGGGTGGTTTCGCACTAGGAGAGTGCCTATGGGTAGCTTATGATTTGAATGAGGTGTTCAATTCAGACGCTCGGGAGTTCGATGAGGCAGTGGTGGATAAGGAGTTGAACCTTGCCGACTATGTGGAGATGTGGCGGAGGAAGAGGTCGTAATTCTGGAGAATAAAGCCGCCAAGTGAATTCTCCCCTAGAAGCGCGGCTCTATCAGCGATCCAACGATGATGTAAAAATTTAGCCCCTGTTTGTGCCAAGTTTTTGCCTCATTTTAATGAAATTTTCGACCGTTGACGGTAACATGGTGGGCCCCCGTACTTCAATGTATCTCAGATTTTGCAGTACAATTAATGGTTAATTCCCAGTTTTGCCCTTCATCCTTGTCCTTAGTGCAAATGAAATAAAAGTGAGGGTGTGATGGCCACCTAATAGTCAAAGGTTGCCAATACTTTAATATTCCACATCTACTGACCCTGGCACAACATGGCAGAATATTTATTATTGCGTACACAATTGGGAATTCGAAATAAAAACGGAAATGACAAATAAACAACCGCCCCTCATGAACAGCCAATCGGTGGAACCAAAAAACAATAAAAAGAATTCTCCCCTAGAAGCGCGGCTCTATCAGCGATCCAACGATGATGTAAAAATTTAGCCCCTGTTTGTGCCAAGTTTTTGCCTCATTTTAATGAAATTTTCGACCGTTGACGATAACATGGTGGGCCCCCGTACTTCAATGTATCTTAGATTTTGCAGTACAATTAATGGTTAATTCCCAGTTTTGCCCATCATCCTTGTCCTTAGTACAAATGAAATAAAAGTGAGGGTGTGATGGCCACCTAATAGTCAAAGGTTGCCAATACTTTAATATTCCACATCTACTGACCCTGGCACAACATGGCAGAATATTTATTATTGCGTACACAATTGGGAATTCGAAATAAAAACGGAAATGACAAATAAACAACCGCCCCTCGTGAACAGCTAATCGGTGGAACCAAAAAAACCAAAAAACAATAAAAAGAATTCTCCCCTAGAAGCGCGGCTCTATCAGCGATCCAACGATGATGTAAAAATTTAGCCCCTGTTTGTGCCAAGTTTTTGCCTCATTTTAATGAAATTTTCGACCGTTGACGGTAACATGGTGGGCCCCCGTACTTCAATGTATCTCAGATTTTGCAGTACAATTAATGGTTAATTCCCAGTTTTGCCCATCATCCTTGTCCTTAGTGCAAATGAAATAAAAGTGAGGGTGTGATGGCCACCTAATAGTCAAAGGTTGCCAATACTTTAATATTCCACATCTACTGACCCTGGCACAACATGGCAGAATATTTATTATTGCGTACACAATTGGGAATTCGAAATAAAAACGGAAATGACAAATAAACAACCGCCCCTCGTGAACAGCTAATCGGTGGAACCAAAAAAACCAAAAAACAATAAAAACAAGCTCACAAAAACGAAGGAACCCGAGATTTCTTTTAGTCGGAGAAAACATAGACGCAAATATCCACTAATTCGACATTTGACCTACGTATCGAAACGAAACCCACCAACATACATCTCGCGTAATTGTCGAAGACAATGGCGAAAACTTGTACATTTTCTTAACTCCCAGCAGACACGTGCCTAATGTGAGGTCCCTAAATGCGGTCATCACGGCTACTGTGCCATGTAATCCCGAAGTCTATCCCACTCTCTTCGTTGTATCTCCGGCGCATTCATATCAGCCTGAATTTCATCCTCAGCAGTGGGTAGCTCCACCTCGGCTACGTCTTCATCCATTTCTGCTCTCGCGAACGCCTTGTCCACAACTCCGAAACGACGCAAAAAATTATGCACACCCATCGTGGCTAGGACAACTGCAACTTGTGTTTTGAATGAGTAGCTGGGCATACGGTCGAGGATTTTCCACCTCTGCTTCAGCACACCGAAAGCACGTTCAATCACATTCCTGCACAAAGAGTGTCTAAAATTGAACTTTTCACGAGCATTTCGAAACCTACGGTGATGACCCGTTCGTTCGTCACAGAACTGTTGGAAGTGATACAGTATATCCGACCCTTTGTACGGTGCCATATACCCCGGGCGATGAGCAAAACCGGAGTCCACTAAGTAATACTTTCCCAGTGCCGACTGCGAAAAATTGAGTTCGGGACTGTATATAGCACGAGCTAGAATTCGCGCGTCATGCGTCTTCCCGGTAGAACTAGCAAGCACGAACGTGAAACACAAATTGAAATCGCAGGCGGCCAACACATTTTGGGTCGGTACTCCTTTCCGACCGATGAAGTGAACACGCTCATGACGCGGTAGCACTGCTCTCACATGTGTTCCGTCAATAGCCCCAATGCAATCTTGAAATAGTGGATGCTTGTTCGGGTCTGGGCAGTGCAGCTCAACACCATCATTGTAATTCGAGGCCGGTCTTACAACACGTTCCGTGAGCATCACGATAGCATGTAGCACCTCTTTGAAAAACACACAAACGGTTTGCAAAGAATGGTTGAACAGTATTGTCACCTACCGATATCCCTTTCCATGTGCAAGTATGCATAAAAACATACCAACTTTTTCGTATATATCCATCCACCTGCTGGCTACTAGTTAAGCCATATTCGTCTCGCAGAACATGTGCAAAGTGTCACAACATCGGTGGGTACATTCGAAACTCTTGATGGCATATCTGACCGTTCCCGCTCAAAGCCTCCATCATGAACATGTGGCCATTTCTTGCATATGGAAATTGTCGAATACGATACCGCTGTGTGCGATAATATGTCCTCGCATCGGTCCTGACAGCAGTCGAAAATGTGACCCATGCGGCAACATCATCTGCGGGACGACGAAACAACTCCTCCTCATCAAGCTTTTCCTCATAGTCAGAGCTCGGCTGTAGCACGCTCATTACGGTATTGGAGTTACTGGCTTTACGTTCCAAGAGCAAGCAAATATATAGAGGATTGCACACAGGTACTTGCTGACATCAACATAACAAGTGGGTGAAATAATTGTACAAAAGAAAAAAAAGGCACTGAAAGGATTACAAAGAAGAAAATAAGGTTGTCATGGATAGCAAGATTCCCTGCAAGTTTTGTTGAAAACCATTTTGAAAGATGTTGTTCAGCATGCAGTACGTATGTAATATTTAGCAACACGTGATGAACTGTATGAGAATAAAATTACTGCTAGTAAATAAGAGTCCAATCCGTCTGCAAAAGCGAAAAATAGTACACAACAAACCCAAGGTCACAAACAGGGGAGGGGCAACTACACTATTACATAGAGCACTCAATAGACGACAACGTTCTAGTGGAGCGACTTCCCATGCTTATTGAACTGCCACTCCATCCATTCAAACTTTTCATCGGCATCCTTCATCACAGCAAACATATCCCGACAACGCTTCTGCATTAGAATTGTGCAGGCATAGCAGTACAGAGGGGAGCGACGCTGCAGGACGCCTGCAGCGAATAGCTCCTCAACTGCAGCAGCCCCGGCGTTTTCATTTGGGTTGATGATGCTAATGAGCTTTGCGACCACTTCTTCGGTTGCACTAGTAGCCCGATCCACTGAATAGGACAACTCACGAGCTGATATTTTTTTCTGCTTTCCCTTACGCCCTTTAGTAGATGATTGTCGTTTATCACCACTTCTAACGTTCAAAGTGCTCATGCTTGCTGTACCTATTGTACCCTCCCCATCATCGCTAGAAGCGCTGCCCTCGTCGTCAGCGGGAATGGTGTCCAAGTGGTCAATCGTCGCATGGTCCTCAAATACAGCTAACCCTTTTTTACAAAACAGGCTCGGGGCCGTCGCGTACTTGTCACCATCATAGCTGTCCCAAAATAACTGTCGATAACGGTTGTAAATCTTGCTAACGTCTTTGTCCTT